ATTGAATTTGTAATGTATTTCATTAAAATTATTAAAAATAATTAATTTAGTGAAGAATTATTGTAGTTCAAAATTTGTTAAATAATTGAATTGAAGAAGATCTGAAGAAGATATAAATTTTATACTAAAAAAATGTATTTTATTAACATTTTTTTTCAAATGTAAAAAAAAATGTCGAATTTTATTAAAATAAATTGATAAAAGTCGTATTTTTGAAAAAAGTCGGAAAAAGTCGTATAATCCTATAATTTTCATTATTATTATTTAATATGTAATAATATTCTAATAAATTAAATTATTATTGATAATATTAATCTTTAATTTCTTTATAACAAACAATTAAATACTCAATTTGGCGCGCTTGCGCGCGTTTAATTTTGCTAGTTATTAATTAATATTCAAATTGATATTAATAATTAATTATTATTCAAATTAAATAAATATTTTTTAATTAATATGTAAATTAATTATTATTAATTTACTATTTATTATTTAATTTAAATTAATTTAGTGTAAATTCATTTTACATATTTTATCAATTATTTCAATTCGAGAAACTATATTATTGTAAATATTTTTAATTTTCTATGCGCCACTTTAGATGAATATTCCTGCATTCTCAATCATCCGCAGAAAAGTTAGAAACTAGTTTATATATATATTGTATGTTGCTTTTGTTGTATTATTATTAAAGTTATAAGCACGCTATCGTGATTCATTAACAAACGCATTATATATCGCATTATTTGATCTATAACGAAAATTATCATATAATTATTCTATTAATAAATAGGTGAAATATAATTAGAATTAAATTTATAGTAATTATGCAGCTATTCATTGATTATTATTATTAACAAAAATCGTATCCTAATGGCAGAATTTATTACCTTTTATAAACAGATCCATTATATGTATATATATTTATATATAGAAAATTATTAATGAGGTTTAATAATCACTCAATTATTTCAAAAAATATTGAATGTAATAATCATACTAAAAATAATAAAAAGAATAATAAAAATTATAACAATAATTAAACAAATACTCTCTAAATCTGAATTAGTAAAAATGTTTACTATTAGTAATAATAAATAAATAATAATAATTAATAAAATTTTACTAATTATTAGTAACTTTTACTAACAAAATTAGTAAAATTTAACTAATTCTAAAGCAAAAAGTGAGTCACTAATTCAAATTAGTAAACATTTTTACTAATTCAGATTTAGAGAGTAAATTTTTAATTCGGAAATGAACTAGATATAATACATTACTGGATGTATGTGTAAAAAATTGTTTGAACAATAATTAAAAAAAACTAATAAATAATCGAATATTATTAAAAATAAATAAATAAATTTTTCTCTACTTAAAAAATTATACGTGTTTTTGCAAAAAATAAAATTTCCCATTTTCTTTTGTTTAATACTAAAAAAAAAAAAAATTAATAACAAAAATAAAATTCATTTATAGTGACTTTAAAAAAAAACGTTTCACGTATTTTGACATAGATTTTTGTTACATATGTGGATATTTTTTTTCTATTTTTTTTTTTTTTTTATTGTAAAATACGCGAAAAGGAAAAAGCAATTACAGAAGCAATGAGAAAAAGACATTATTTATCACCAAAACTGAATTGCTGAAAGGAACAGTCGAATGACTGACAAACAAAAATTTATCACACGAAAAACAATAACTGTCGGATGTTATATTTATTGATGCTATTAATCCGAATGTATTGCTTTTATTTGTATTTAGAGACATCGAACTGATCCATTTTTTTCCCAAAGCATTTTTTTTTTCGTTTTCAAATAACTGAATAATTCATATTACTCTTTCGAAACGTATCAAAAAAAAAAAAAATGAAAAAGAAAGAAAGTTTTTCAGATATATATTCTAAATTCTAGTTTAGCTGCAAAAGAAAAAAATTCTATTCTCTTAAATACAAGTAATTTACTACGTATTCAATTAATTAATTTTACAATTAATTCAAAAAGTACCAAATTTATACTAAAAACAAATAATTTTTGTTTTCTTTTTTTCTAAATAATAATGTAAAATAAAATTTATTTTTGTAATTTGCTTCTGTAAGGACCCTAGAAATATTTAAGAAATTAAATAAATAATTATAAAAATTTTGATCAATTTGATACTTTTAGTATGATACTTTTAGTGTATGGTATTTTTAATATATGGTACTTTTAATAAAAGTACTAAAGTACTAAAAGTATCATATACTTAAAGTATCATTTGCCAAAAATATTATATAAAAAATATCATACTAAAAGTATCAAAACGATTGAAGTATATGGTACTTTTAGTATATGCTATTTTTAGTATATTCTACTTTTAGTATATGGTGCTTTTATTATATGATACTTTTACTAAAAGTACTAAAGTACTAAAAGTATAATATACTAAAAGTATCATATGCCAAAAATATTAAACTAAAAATATCATACTGAAAGTATCAAATTAATTGAAGTATATGGTACTTTTATTATATGGTACTTTAACTAAAAGTATTAAAGTACTAAAAGAATCATATACTAAAAGTATTATATGCCAAAAATATCGTACTGAAAGTATTAAATTAATTGAAGTATATGGTACATTTAGTAAGTGGTATTTTTAGTATATGTAACTTTTAGTATATGGTACTTTTACTAAAAGTACTAAAGTACTAAAAGTATCATATGCCAAAAATATTAAACTAAAAATATACTGAAAGTATCAAATTAATTGAAGTATATGGTACTTTCAGTACATGCAACTCTTTGTTTATGGTACTTTTATTATAGGGTACTTTTACTAAAAGTACTAAAGTACTAAAAGTATTATATGCCAAAAATATTAAACTAAAAATATCATACTGAAAGTATCAAATTAATTGAAGTATATGGTACTTTTATTATATGGTACTTTAACTAAAAGTACTAAAGTACTAAAAGAATCATATACTAAAAGTATCATATACTAAAAGTATCATATGCCAAAAATATCGTACTGAAAGTATTAAATTAATTGAAGTATATGGTACTTTTAGTATATGGTACTTTTATTATATGGTACTTTAACTAAAAGTACTAAAGTACTAAAAGTATCATATACTAAAAGTATCATATGCCAAAAATATCATACTGAAAGTACCAAATTAATTGAAGTATATGGTACTTTTATTATATGGTACTTTAACTAAAAGTACTAAAGTACTAAAAGAATCATATACTAAAAGTATCATATACTAAAAGTATCATATGCCAAAAATATCGTACTGAAAGTATTAAATTAATTGAAGTATATGGTACTTTTAGTATATGGTACTTTTATTATATGGTACTTTAACTAAAAGTATCATATACTAAAAGTATCATATGCCAAAAATATCATACTGAAAGTACCAAATTAATTGAAGTATATGGTACTTTTAGTATATGGTACTTTTACTATATGCTGTTTTTAGTATATGGTACTTTTAGTATATTGTACTTTTAATATATGATACTTTTAGTATTATGATACTTTTAGTACATGAAAATTTATTATCAATTTGATACGTTCAAGTTATAAAAATAACCACAAAAAGAAATCATTAAAAAAAAAAAAATTGCGTAAAAAAATAATGAAAACAGAAATTCTATTTTTTGTTTATGTAAATGATAAAAATTTATCATTCATTTGCAAAATTTAATTAAAATTTAAAAGTCAAAGTACCACTGTGCGGTTTTATGTCAAAATTATTGTTTACAAACATTGTGGTTTTTGAATTAATCAACTTATGCAAGCTTTTATGTATATATATATGTAAATTACATATTCCTGTATAAATGAAATATTTTATATATAAAATGTATTTCATGCTATTATTTTCTTAGAAAAAAAAAATTTTTTATGTAAAAATTTTCTATAGAAATATAAATTAAAAATCGAAAAATGAAAAATTCTAAATTAAAATAAGGCTATCATAATAATTTATAACTATTAAAGTAAATGATCTTTTGGAGAAAATATTTTAGGTTCAAGGAACGTTCTGGAAATAGCCTGATCGTGCTACAAGACACTGTGTGTCTATTTCCATGCATTCATGACGTAAAACCATATGTATGATACACACACACACATTTTGAATAAAAAAAAAAAAAAAACACACATTCGTCGATCGCTACAAATTCACTGATTAGTATCAAAATGAATACATTATGTATATCATTGCAGTCACTGATACATTTGAATGCAAATCATCTCTCCCCCTTTCACTATATATACATATATATCCATAGTTCAAAGACATTCATTTCCATCTACAAAATTCTTTATCATCATTCCACACGTGTGTGTATGTATATATATATATATAGATTTCAGCAAAAAAAAAGAAAACTATGATTTTAAAAAGGGATCCTTTGTATTGAAAGAAAGAATTGAAAAATCGATAAAACAAAATTTTACTCTAAAAAAAAAAAAGAATTTGCATTGCAAAAAACAAATTCTTTTTTTATTTGCATTGAAATAACAGTGATTTAAAAAATTGTGCATTGAACATAAAAAATTATCTGTTAAATTAAATATTTTTTAAATAAAACTGTTTTTTATAATTTAAAAATTTTTTTTTTAATGTAATTTTTTTTAATAATTTTTTTAAACAATTTTTTTAAACAATTTCTTGAATTTAAATTTTCGCCACAATTTTGAAATAATTTAAATAGAAATATAAATTTCACTATGTGAACATAAAGAAAATTATTTTATATATTCTCACACACACACACACTGACATTTTCATACACATATATTATAGAGATAAGAAAATTGTGTGTCAGTGTAAAACGTGCTTCCCAAAGCCACACAGACATTTGCGCAAAAATATGTGTGTTGAGGTAAATTTTTTTTTTACAAAAAAAAAAAATCCAAATAATTAATAAGTTCACTGACACAATGAAAATACTAAATTTTCCCATATAAAAATTGAAAATCCAATAATAAACATTTAATACCTTTTGTTTTGCTTTTAAATGAATCCGCGGCTTTTGAACTTGTGTGCTCGGGTCAAGTAATTGACACACAAATACACAGTTATATACGATCTCTCTCTCTCTCTCTCTCTCTCAGTATGTGTCTCTGTCAGTCCTTGATTGTGTCTATATACAACACATATAAAAATTTTAATATATATATATACTTTCTCTTTACACTCTCCCCTATGAAAATAAAAAAAAAAAATTACCCAAAAAATTAAGTCGAATGAGATAAAACAAAAAAATTGCAAAAAAAAATTGATTTGTTTGAAAAAAAAAAATGGTTGAAAAATTGAATATCGATTGGCTTGCTCGATCGGTAAATCGTAATAGCGCACTTTTTTTTTAAAATAATATTCGATACCGTGCCGACAGAAGGCCGTTTTACACTGGCTCCTTTCGCTGCTGGAGACTCTATGTATACCGTATATACCAATCGTCCTGTTGTCTGCCTTATAAGAGTGTGGGCTTTTCGACGGCGACGTGTGTGTGTTTATGTGACTCACACTGTACAGCATGGTTAATTAAAGAAACACGAATATTGCACTTCAAGAACGTCTTCACTTTTGACATTGAATGAGAAAAGATAATATATACTATCAATTAAAAACAGAAAAATAGATTTAAAAAAAAAACACCACAAATTGAAGCTGACGGTATAAAAACTACCATAAATTAAAGCTGCCAATGTAAAAATGAAAATAAGTGAAATTACTAATAATTGAAGCTACTAATAATTATAGCTACTAATAAGTGAAACTACCAATAATTGAAGCTATCAATAGTTAAAGCTGCCACAGATTAAAGCTAACGATATAAAAATTACCATTAATTAAAGCTACCAATGTGAAACTAAAAATAATTGAAACTACCAACAACTGAAGCTATAAATAATTTAAACAACCAATAATTAAAGCTACTACTAATTGAAACTACCATAAATTAATGCTAACGATATAAAACTATAATTAATTAAAGCTACCAATGTAAAACTGAAAATAATTGAAATTACTAGTAATTGAAGCTACTAATAAGTAAAACTACCAATAATTAAAGCTATCAATAGTTAAAACTACCACAGATTGAAGCTAACGATATAAAAACTACAATTAATTAATGTTACCAATGCAGAACTAAAAATAATTAAAATTATCAGCAATTGAAGATACAAATAACCGAAACTATCAATATTTAAAACTGCCATAAATTAAAGCTACTGATATACAAACTACCATTAATTGAAGCTACCAATAAAAAAATAAAAATAATTTAAACTATCAGCAATTGAAGCAATAAATAATTGAAACTACTAAAAATTATAGATATAATTAATTGAAACTACCAATAACTGAAGCTATAATTAATTACAAACTACCACAAATTAATGCTACTGATATACAAACTACCATTAATTACAGCTACCAATGTAAAACTGAAAATAATTAAAACTATCAACAATTGAAGCTATAAATATTTGAAACTACCAATAATTGAAGCTAATAATAGATGAAACTACCACAAATTGAAGATAACGATGTAAAAACTACCATTAATTACAGCTACAAATGTAAAATTAAAAATAATTGTAATTACCAACAACTGAAGCTATAAATAATCGAAACTTCCACAAATTGAAGATAACGATGTAAAAACTACCATAAATTACAGCTACGAATGTAAAATTAAAAATAATTGAAATAACCAACAACTGAAGCTACAAATAATTGAAACTACCGATAATTGAAGCTAATAATAGTTGAAATTACCAATAATTGAAGCTACTACTAATTTAAACTACCATAAATTAATGCTAATGATATACAAACTACAATTAATTAAAGCTATCAATGCAGAACTAAAAATAATTGAAATTATTAGCAATTGAAGATACAAATAACTGAAACTACCAATAGTTGAAACCACCACAAATTAAAGCTACATATATACAAACTACCATTAATTGAAGCTACCAATAAAAATACTAAAAATAATTAAAACTATCAGCAATTAAAGCTATCACTAATTGAAACTACCGTAACTTGAAGCTAACTATATCCAATCTATCATTAATTAAAGCTACCCATATAAAACTACCAGTAACTGTAGCTACCAATAATTGAGATTACAAATAATTGAAATAACCAATAAATAAAGAGGTACTCATAATTAAAGCTATACTAATAATTAAAACTACCAGTAATTGAAACTACATGTAGTTAAAACTATTAGTAATTGAAGCTGCTAATAATAATTGAAGCTAATTCAAGTAATTGAAGCTAAAAAAAATGGAAACTTATAGTATTTTAACTACCATAAATTGAAGCTACTAATAATTAATACTATTAACATGTGAAACTACCATAAATTGAAGCTACTAATAATTAATACTATTAACATGTGAAACTACCATAAATTGAAGCTACTAATAATTAATACTATTAACATGTGAAACTACCATAAATTGAAGCTATCTATAGTTAAAGTTGAAAATAATTAAAACTACTAACAGAAAACTACCAAAAATTAGAAATACTAAATTTTGAAGTACTAAAAGTTATAACTACCAAAAATTATAACTACCAAAAGTTATAACTATCAAAGGTTAAAATTACCGAAGGTTAAAACTACCAAAGGTAAAAATTACCAAAATTAAAAATTGCCAAAGTTTAAAACTACCAAAGGTAAAAATTACCAAAATTAAAAATTACCAAAGCTTAAAACTACTAAAGGTAAAAATTACCAAAGGTTAAAACTACCAAATCCTAAAATTACCAAAATTAAAAATTACCAAAGGTTAAAACTACCAAAAAATTCTATGTTTTAAAGAAACAAAAAATAATTTGATAATTGTACAAAAGAAGAACTTTTATATTTATTTTGGAACAGTGACTTTTTTATCACTATTTTATTTGTAAGCTAATTGCCATTTTATCATTTATAATTGTATAAACTCTATATATAGAAATAATTTCCCTCGCAATCAAACATATATATTTCTTCACTACTAATAAATTTCAACCAATTTTCGATAAAAACTTTTCTTCATCAATGGCACTAAATTGCAGTTAGTTTCCAATTCACTTCGTCTCTTTTTTTCCCCCCATGAGGTGTAGTGGTGGTAATTACAATTTTGATTCGTAATCCAAACGTTCTTATATACTACATATATACTGCTGATCTGGACAAAAGTTTATCAAACTTTTGATATCAGAATACGAACTACTAATTTTTTTATTTAATTAATTAAAACTGCTGTATAAATTTAATTTTGTTTTCTATTCAAAAAAAAAAAATTATAAATATTTGCAAATCCCTATTTGTAAAAACAAAAATATATAAACGTTCCAATTTCTATATATATTTTCCTCAATATGAATAAGTCGAAAATACATATTGCGATCTTTCGATTTAAATATAGATGGAAATATAGTTTAAATAGTATATTTTAAAATAGGTAGTGCCAAAAATTTTCTTAGAATTCAATTTCCAAAAATAAAGATTTCACATATTGGATTTTATGAAAATTAAAATTGTAATGATTTTTGTATTTAAAAAAAAAAAGAAAATAAAAATAACCACATAAATCTGCATTTGACATTTTAGAACAGATTAGAGTAAAAATATAAAAATGAAGATTAATCTTCATGAGTACGATATGTGAATGGTCGAATGGATATTAATAGTTGATATAAAAAAAAAAAAGTTATTCTTCTAAGAAGTATAAGTTAACATAACGTATTCATAAGGTCAATTGTATGTTTTTTTGTATAATATATATGTGTGTGTTGTTAATTGTGACAGGCACGCGTTTAACAATGTTATAATTGCTCAAAAACCAGTTAAAACCAGTATCTTGGTATTTTACCGAAATGAATCGCATATGTACATGACTTAAAATAGATTCCTCGGACTTTTGTGTATATATATATATATATACAATAAAATGCAGGCAGAGGAAATATTATTTTAAAATAAAAATTATGCTCCTCTTAATTTAAATTAGTCACTTATAACTAATTCAACTAAACCGATTCATTCATTAAATGAATTAGTAACTGTTTTGACTAATTTTTAGTCAAAAGTGTCTAATTCTTAGTAGAAAATTACTAATTAGTAGTGGAAAACTAATAATTTATTTAGTAAGACTACTATTTTAATTAGTAAACTTTAATAATAAATTAATCATTTTCTATTTAATTTCTATTAAAAGTTATTAAAATGAATTAGTAACAATTTTGACTATTTTTCAATCAAATCTGACTAATTAGTAGTAAAAAATTACTAACTCTTAGTAAAAAAGACTAATTATTAGTAAAAATTACTAACTCTTAGTAAACAATGACTAATTGTTAGTAGAAAATTATTAATTTATTTAGTAAGCAGTACTATTTCAATTAGTAAAGTTTAATAAATTAATTAGTAATTTTCTACTATCAATTAGTCATTTTTTACTAAAAAATTAGTCAAAAATGACTAGAAAACTGCTAATTTTTTTAGTAAGGTTACTATTTCAATTAGTAAACTTTAATAATAAATTAATCATTTTCTATTTAATTTCTATTAAAAGTTATTAAAATGAATTAGTAACCATTTTGACTATTTTTCAGTCAAATCTAACTAATTAGTAGTAAAAAATTACTAACTTTTAGTAAAAATTACTAATTATTAGTAAAAATTACTAACTCTTAGTAAACAATGACTAATTGTTAGTAGAAAATTATTAATTTGTTTAGTAAGCAGTACTATTTCAATTAGTAATTAGTAAAATTTAATAAATTAATTAGTAATTTTCTACTATCAATTAGTCATTTTTTACTGAAAATTAGTCAAAAATGGCTAGAAAATTGCTAATTAGAAAGGTTACTATTTCAATTAGTAAACTTTAAAAAATGATTTACTTAATAGTTTTCTATTTAACTTCTATTAAAAATTATTAAAATAAATTAATAACAATTTTTACTAATTTTTAGTTAAAAATTACTATTTGATAAGAATACTACTAATTTATTCACGAAAGTTTACGAAATAAAACAGCAACCGAATTAATGTATTACTTTTTATATTAAAAGAATTTTAAAAAAGTTCAGATTCTAAAATTTTTATAAAATTCACTACATCTTTTTTTAAGTAGCTTATATTTTTAAAAATATTCGTCTCCTCTCGCTTTTATTTCATTTCCTCTCTCTCTCTCTCTCTCTGTGTCTTTATACCCACATATATATAACAAAGTAAAAAGCTATTTTTCCATCAATTTTATACAAATTGATTTTCTACCTCATCATCAAGTTTCTATCCCTTAATTAAGGAAGAAGAGAATGGTTTCAATTTCGCACTATAGGGGAACTATTGGATACTTAGTTAATTTGCATACGATTAATCCTGATTGACCTGGCTTGATTATACTGTGGTTTATTTGAT